ACAAATGCTTGAAAATGGCGGAATGATTGCGAAATGTGTTATATATTAAAAGGTTGCGGCCACAACTGATGCCAATCATTCCAGTTGTTGTTATAATTACTNTTGAAGTATTTGAAATATACTCCAAATTATGCTTTGCACTACAATAAGTATCCCGCAATAATAGAGGGGTATAATGATGCAAATTAGATCACCGATTCAACCGATTGTAAACTATCGGTGGAGGAGCGATGTCTTGGAAATCATCCAAACAAATGTGTATTGAACGCTCTACAGTGGAGACTGAGTTTATAGCCTTAGACAAGGCCGGTGAAGAAGTTGAATGGCTCCGGAATTTCTTGGAAGATATTCCATTTTGGCCAAACCTTTGGCACCTATGTGTATACATTGTGATAGTCAAGTGGTAATAGGCGGGGCAAGGAGCGTTATGTATAACGGAAAATCTCGTCACATTCGACGGAGATACAATACCGTTAGACAACTACTCTCTAGTGGTGTTATCACAATTGACTACGTAAAGTCAAGAGATAACGTGTCGGATCCACTTACAAAAGGCCTATCTAGAGAGGCAATTGAAATATCATTAAAGGGAATGGGGCTAAGGCCTAGGACAAGTCATCATGGCGGTAACTCTACCTAGCAGACTGGAGATCCCAAGAGCTAAGTTCAAAGAGATCAAACAAAGTTATGAATGACGGTTCAACATTGTCAAATAACTCAACCCATTCTCGTGATAAAGACAATGTTCAGAAATCAAGGTAAAGCATTAAGGCTTTTTGATGAGTCAATAAAGCTTAAAGCTTTTTAATGATTTTCTAAGTCTGGCAGGATATGACCAGATAGTGTGTCTATAGGATTACACGTTTAGAAATCACCTATGTGAGTGTTAAGTGTAAGCCGCTTTAAGGGGAATGAAAGTAAAGGCCCATTCTCTAAGCACTCATGAAACCAGGCGGTGTTCATGGCTGAAACGAACACAACCGTGAGAACCAAAGACAGTTAAGGGTTAATTGTGTGACTTATGGTTGTCTAGGTATACACCAAAGTTCGACGGTTCAAAGATATCAAATCTACTGATTGAACGAGTATATCCGACATAAGTTCACTACGGAAAGTTCAAAGGGAAACTTACTTATCCAGATGCGATTAATCCTTATTTGTGGATCACACAGTATTTTCATGCATGTTTTTCCTCATATGACCATTCCCCATTCATGTGGGGGATTGTTCCGTTTTTATTAAGGGGTGTGAATGGGAAATGGAAGAGGCACCTTTTAGATTGCACCTCTCCATATCACCCTTCCTTTGTCTATAAATTTAGAGGCTTGGCCTCATTTTAAAGGCACAAAATCAGATAAAAAAAATCTGAAATCTTTTCCCCTCTTTTCCACATTGTTGCATTATTTTCTAAATAAACATAAGTGTCAAGTGTGATTTGCTCCGTTTGTTGAGTTCGCTGAAGTTCTGTGCTTTGAAGTGCCGCTATCACAGAATAGTTATTCCGTTGTATCCTGGGAGGAATCCGTATACCTTGGGCAACAGTGAGGGGATTAAATTTCTTAAGGACACATTGTGCATTCAGTGGGCTCGGAATTATTTTACGATTTGTTTATTGAACTAACGTCATTTTTGCTTCTATAATTTTCTGATTTTGAACACAGAAATACTAACAGTATCAACCAACTTTTTCCTTTTCTTCAAATCTTTCTTTTGGCTTTTAAAAATTTGATTTGTGTAGCTACTCATTCGTGGCTTTCGGCTTGCTATTTACTTCTATAAAATTGGTGATTTGTCCAAATCTTCTTCTCAATAATAAGGATTTTCTCAACCTATTATTATATGAAGACTTCTAAAGCGAATACATGCGGACAGGGAAAAAGGGTATAAAAACGGATATTGGAATGTCTATTGAATTTTTCCTTCTAATCTTGGATTCTAACAAAGCTAAGAGCATAGAAAACCAATAACGCTTATATATCATCTTCTATCGAAAGTAAAAGCCTCTTCTTCAACACCACTAGTCATTCATATAGCTAAAATCAATAAACTAGAAACACGTAAAAATAAGTATATTTAGATTCAACCAAAGTAAATACATAACTAGACGTCCCGAGTTCAAATAAAGTAGAAATACATAAAAATAAGTATATTTAGAGTCAACCAAATCAAATACATAACCAGATGTTACGGGTTCAAGCTCTAGGAATAAATCGATCCAATGCATAATTAGATATCTCGGGTTCAAGCTTCAGGAATAAACTCACTTAATTTTAGTAGAATTCCGGATTAGTCGAAACCCAAAACAACATAGTACATCGCGCATGCCTGCCAAAGCCGTCAACGTTGCACGTGCAATGCACGCTTAACTCCTCTCCGCTTCTTCAACTACTCTCCCAATTGCCGCTATGATGTGACTCGTAATTCATAACAAACAACAGGTCAACCCAATGTCTAGCTCTACACAATTCTCTCCAGTTACTCAACAATTATATCCGAAAAAATCAAACCAATCCTACATATCAAACTTCAAATGTCTGAAATTAATACCTGTCTTCCCAATATCTGTAAATTGTTCAAATATTCATTTAAAATTCAGAGCTAGAGCTGAGGTTTTGGAAAATAACCGTGAAGAAAGTTCTGTACAAGATCTTGATAATTCACCAGCTTCTGTTGAGCTACAACCCATTTCTAGTGAAGCTCAATTTGATCGGGTCATTTCTGAAGCCCAGCAAATTGATGAATCCGTTGTAATTCTATGGTACGTGCGTTATTCTTATTTATGATTCATGTCTTTCATATCGAAAAAATAGCGCAACAATATTATTTTCTTGTTGGAACATATGAAATAAATAAAGGTTTATTATCTAATTGAATAAAAATAAAAGGGTTATAAAGTTTTTCTGTCTTTTTTGGTTTATAATTAATTTTTCAGTTGTCTTTTGTAAAAAGCAGAGTAAATTGGTTTTATTTTCTCATGGTGACCTTTTATTTTTGAATGGAAATATGGGGTTGAGCTTAAGCCGAGGCTTCCGAAAACCGCCTCTCTACTTCCACGAGGTAGGCGTAAGGTCTGCGTACACACTATCCTCCCCAGACCCCACTTGTGGGATTATACTGGGTATGTTGTTGTTGTTGAGCTTAACTAGAACTTCATGCTGGTATTTTGGGGTTTTATGCTATTCTAATATTTCGCCCTGACGTTGTGTAAAGGATGTGTTTATTTTGTTATAATTTGGTATTTTGGTATGTTATATTGATAGAACAGTAGTTATGGTCGGATTGCTCGAGTATAAGTCGACCAAGTGATGGAATGAAATTTCTGAAAATGTGAAACAGATAACTCAATAAGAAGTACATATGAAAAGTTCCAAATATTGAGTGATTACATGCAATTAGAGGGCTCAATTATGTATAGTGTCTTACAATGTTCTATACTATGCAGATGCAAGAGTTTCTTGTACAGGTTACATGTTTGAAATTTAATACCAATTTACATTCCTAGGGAGTCATTTGATTTGTAGTTTCCATGTGTCTCTCGTAACTTTAGCATAGCAGGGTAGAAGCCAATGGCTTGAATTCTCGTATTCAGTCTCTGATCCTTTTTCCATGTACAATGTGACCAGGAGGTCACGGTTTCAATCCGTGGAAACAGCCTCTTGCAGAAATGTAGGGTAATGCTGCATACAATAGACCTTTGTGGTCCAGCCATTCCCCGGACCCCGCGCATAGCGGGAGCTTAGTGCACTGGGCTGCCCTTTAGAAGAGAAGGTGTTCCATGAATAGTTTTTTCTTTTACTTCTAGGAGTCACAATCTTTTTCTACTGATGCATGTATTGGAAAACCTAGAATAGTTTCCACTTTTGTGGCCCTGCAAAAGATTGAAACACCTTAGTCTTAAATATGTCTGTGGCTTAGCATATAGATGTTGTATCAGTTATTCTCCTGGAAAAGGTTATTTATATGCAATATATGAAATATTATCAAGAAAGAAGCTGGTATTAAGTTGATGTAATTTTGAATCTGCAGGATGGCAACCTGGTGTCGCAAATGCATATACTTGAAACCAAAATTGGAAAAATTAGCTGCTGACTACTTCCCAAGGTTGTGCTCTCTTGCATTTCCCTTCAGATATAGCACCTTGCATTAAAAAGGCTTTATCTAGGCCTAAAGTGTACTCTCTTTGCAATTTGTTCCTATACGACTTGTGATTAGCTTTTGTGCTACTCTTCAAACTTTTTGCTGATCAACTTCCGCACTACTCTTCAAACTTGTCGCTATCTGTCAGATGAGATATTTCAAAACTCTGGATTCTTGTGACATTTATTGCTAGTTTCTGTGAATATTTTTGAGAAGGATTACGTGCTCTGAATTTTTCTCTTGTAGTTCTTTTATTGATTCCTGAAAGATCCAATAATAAATTGGTGAACAGTTCTCACGTTATCAAATTAGTCCCGGTGATTCAGATAGCAGGGAAGGATTGAGGACACTTAAATTACTCGAGTTCATAAATTTGGATGAGGACGGTGGCTATTTATATTACTTCTAAAACAAGAATTTCAAGAATCAATTTTTAGTTAAGGCAGTAATTGCTCGTGCTTAACTGCTTGTTTGCGGATGAAGTATCTTGTGTGTACTTGGTATGCGTTGTGCATCACTTTCTTGCGATTGAATAGCTTTAGTTGAATTTGGGTACTGATCTGAATCTTCTGCTATCTTGATTTTACAGAACACGCTTTTACTGTGTTGATGTCAATAATGTTCCACACAAGCTTGTGGTTCGTGCAGGAATAACTGTAAGGTTTCCTTTCCCCTAAATCTACCAAATGGTCGATGTCTTTTTGCTATGTAATTATTGACTACTAAACTTACAACAACAACAACAACAAACCCAGTGGGATCGCACAAGTGGGATTTGGGGAGGGTAGTGTTGCACGCAGACCTTCCCCTACCCGGGGAAGATAGAGAGGCTGATTCCAATAGACCCTCGGCTCAGGAATATTGACTACTAAACTTGTAAAGCATATAAAATTTACTCAAACTCCTCAGGCTGTTTGAGACACCATCTTTACAGCTAGCCAGTTTGCAGCATTCCCTTACGAAAGCATAAAAAAATCTTTTTTCTTCTAGACTGTCAATGGATTGTACGTAGTTATTCTTTTTAATAATGATGGTGTCCTAGCCAGATAACGTGCACTTCAATCAATTCATCAAGTACCTACTCCTCTCACCTAGGTATCGGGTTAACTCTTTGGCTAAGGCTTAGACCGACGTAATGTTGCATTTGTTGATATTCGAACCTTGGTTCTTAGGAGTGTTTCTGCAATTCTTCGATTGCTAAAATCTACCCCCTTGCGGCTAAATCCTACAGCTTTTAGTTGAGCTTAGATGCTGAAGCTGGATGTGATTTCTTGGCCTCAAAGTCCAGACCTAAGTAGAACTTTTCCAGATGCATTGCATCCAAATTCGTGTTATCTGTCTGGCCGAGTACCTAATCCAATAATCTTTTCAGAAGTAATAATAAATTACAGTTTAATTAGATAAGAGGTACCTATGTTACATGCACTAGGAGATGCTGTACCTTTTAGGTGAATTAGCAAACAATGGCTAGAAAACCATAAATAGGACGATAGGGCGTAGTTTGCCTGTAAAAGTTGATACAGCATGTCTAGAAAAATGTTTACATGCACAGGATTTCTGAAATTAGAAATAAGGAGAAGATAGCTTTACCTCTTGATGGTTAAACTAGGCAGGGTGGAGCTAGCATTTCGGTTGCAGGTTCGCCAAACTCAATAGCTTTGATCCAAACCCTATATTTGTTTGTATTCGTCTAAAGAAATCCATTGAAAATATACAAATAAATTTTGAACCCAGTAGCTTAAAAGGATTAGAATTCCGAACCCATAAGCTTCAAATCCTGGCTCTGCTCTGAAACTAGGCCTTCCGTTTTGGGGCAATCTGGTAGGGAATAAAAGATATGATTTTCACCCCACAATTTAGACTCCACTCAATATATACAGCTAGCATGCAGCTGTCATGAGATATTAAGATGTATAAATCCTTTACTTGCTAAAAGCGGATGTTACTAGTTAAAAACACTCCTTTTCATTTGTATAAAGTGGTACTGTTTTGTCATTAGAATTGTTTGATTAGTATGTGCAATACTGTGATTTGAATTTATTCATATTCATTTAATGATGTGAAATTCTACATTTTCATGTGTCCAAATCTCTGTGGCAACAAAACCTGAACAGAAAATGCCGACCATACAGGTAACAAACTCATTTCGTTTAGCTGCTCGAAAGCTAATTTTACTTATGTGGTTTTAGCTTCAAATGCTTTTTATCATCTTCATGGTCAATGATAGTATGAATGCTGCGTCTGCGCAGTTATGGAGGGACGGAAATAAACAAGCGGAAGTAATTGGAGGTCACAAAGCATATTTAGTCGTTACTGAGGTTCGCGATATGATAGAAAATGAAGATAATAATTTATAACTTGAAGGCATATCCAAAACTTGCAGAATTCATGTATCCTGTTTTGTTCTGGTCCCATATTATTCCCAGTTCTGTACAAATTTTCAAGATGCCATTCAATAAATTGTTATTCTTCACATGTACACTTGAAAGGATAACCATACACAGATACTGACTTTTTGTCTCAACATTAAAAGAGAAAGGTGTTTCTTTTTTTTCATGTATCCTGTACATTTCTTGACATGAATTGTTAACTAGTATTAGTACCCGCGCAATGCGCGGACAGAAATATCAAATTATAATTTGAGTTATTGGAATTACCTTAAAATTTAAACCTTCCAGATAACATGTTTCTTTTTATTTATATTTTTATTTTATATCTATAACAATCCAACTCCTTGATTTTAGTATATTTTATTTTGTTGTTAATATTAAATAATACTAAACATATCACGTTTGTTAGTAATAGTGATTTTTTAAAAACGACACATAATGTAAATTGAAAAAAAATATTCTAAGATATCCTTATCTTTAATCTATGTATTTGAGTTCAAAAAAAAATATTTGAAATCGATGAGATTAACTTTTTTTATACTCAACAAAGATGAAACATTAAGAAGAAATTTGTTGTCATCTTTTATTTCTCGTTTTTAGATCTTTCTAACATTTTTTCCCAATGTTTATTTTGTTTTATTTTATTTTTTATGACATTATTTCTTTTGTTACAAAAAATTAATTTATTTCACTATAAAAGGATGAGTTTTAATAAAAATTGTATACATATGAACTTTAATTATATTTTTAGTATTTGGTTGAAATTAATTCATATTTTTCTTTTGGCTTTATCTAATCAGCCTAAATAGGTGTTTACCCGCACACTTAAATTAAAAAATTGGATGATGTGTAATTCATATATAATTCATATATAATATGTGTATAATCGTGTGTTGTCGGTATGTCATCTATTTATATTAGCCATAAAAGTAAACAATAAATATGACCGGATATTATGTAAATATTACATAAGATTTCGGTTTTTTGAGTTTATCCATGATATAACTTCTATTATAATAATTTTAAAACTCTCTACTAATGTTCAAAAATATCTTATCTTTTTATTATCTTAAATTAAAAAAGTAAAGAGTTTTTTCGAAATAATTTGTTTACATTTAAAAAAAAAATATTTCACGTCATACCAATTTTTTCTTTATATATACTCTTTGTTACACTTAAAAGTCGCTATAGGAACTATCAATTAGAAACCAATTTCTCTCTTGTTGAGTTTGAAAAAAAANTGCTACTCAGTTATATTTAGAGGCTCTAGACTCGTGACCCCAGATCTATTGGGAGTTGTATTGGCATTTGTTATGGTTTTTCCGCACTATTTCTGTCTATTACTACGGGTTGGAATTATGTTATCTGATAATTTAACTCTATTAATTGGTAATGGGTTGCGTGTTTGGATTTGAAAATGTTTAAATGGTCGGGCTTGCCTAGCATTGTGTCGGGCGCCATCACAACCGGGATTGGGATCGTGACACAAATATAATTGATCGACATGATTTGGGCTGATTATTTATTGAATATTTTGTTGGGACTGAATCACTTCATGTATTGGTGTGAGCCGACAGTAGTGTAGGCCTTGTTGTGGATCTATGAGCCCGCAATAAGAGGGCCCATCAGGTCATATCTTTTAAGCCTACTAGTTTTTGAACACGTGCATCGCATGTGTATTCTATGCCAAGCAGTATAAAACTTTGTAAATTTGAAGATTACCAAAAAAGTATCCAAACAATTTATCTAAAATGCTAAAATAGAGATGTAGTTGCGACAGTGTAATATCAAATATCAAATATGAGACTAATTCAAATATTTAAAGACTAATTCAAATAACATAAATATTTTATAAAGTGAAGATGTAGACATTCATATTGTAATAGTAAACATTAATATGTATTCTGTATGTAAAACTGAAAGAAATATAATTAACTCTACCATAGTAAGGACAAAAATAACATAAGCTATTTACAACTCTTACATAGCCATTACAAAGACAACTCATCAACTTCCTAACAATTAGCTCAATCATATAGAACGACCAATATATATAGATCTAATTTAATGATGTAATTCTTGAAAGCCAGATGTATTCAGGTACTTAGTTTTTTCTTCTATGAAGCAAATTTCAATATGTAAAAATTATAAAGCTCTAAACCCTATCAAATAATGATTTTGATTTATAATGACTTTGAGTTATATTTTTCGCATGTCTTATATTCTTTTACTTATACATCATTAAAACTGAGATAAAAAAAATCACTTGACTCATAGCTTCTTACTGGTAAAAATAAACAAAGGAGGAAGAAGTTAAGTCCACTAATGGACGTGGTAATTAGCCTAGTATTGGAATCAATAATTTCTAGTTACAACAAAGAAAATATAAAAGGTTCCACTATTTTTTTCTACTGAAAATCCGTAAGGATGTTTCATCGTCAAAATTTTTATAATCAAAGATATTTAGCTTCACCAAAAATATAGAAGAAGAACAACAACAACAACAATCATAGAATTAGCTGACACTCATAAAAAATAACATACAAGGAAAAAGCTATACCTGATATATGCCAAATAAAAAAGAATGTTTTTTTTATGGAACAGAGGAATTTTTCAACGGAAAAGGGCCTGATATATCCCTCTACTTTGTTTTATTGTTCAATCCTGTCCCCCGTTATACTTTCCATCCAAATTTACCCCTGCCGTCCATCAAAGTTCTATATTTGCCCCTATTTTAACGGCCGGGACACGTGGCACATTCTGAATACGGAAAAGGGCCTGATATATCCCTATACTTTATTTTATTGTTCAATCATATCCCTCGTTATACTTTCCGTCCAAGTTTACCCATGCCCTCCATCAAAGTTCTATATTTTCCCCTATATTAACGGCCGGGACACGTGGCATATTGTAGGAGAAAGAACCAGTACAAAAACAAAAAAACTCCAAACCGCCCTAGAACCCATGACCCGCATGCTCGTTTTTCCTCTCTTAATTTTTTTCCAAACTTCTCTTAAATAAAAACTTTTAATCCGTGTAAGAGATTATCTTAGTCTGACAAAGAGATGAGGTTCAAAGACACAAGGTTCTGTCATCTCTTTGCTTGTTGCCACCATTTTTTTCTTTACTTCTATTTTCTTACTCCTCACTCCCTTACATTTTTTTCTTCCTCTTGTTATCACTGAATGAAACTCCACCTTTGAAAACAAAACTGCTCGAAGTCGCCCACAATTCCTTGCATATGTATTTTCTTTCAATCTCATTGATTTAAGAAAAAATTGAAATAGGTGTGGCAGAAAATTTGAAACTTCAGACGGGCTTGATGGAATTCTTTCTCCGGCGATCTCAAAACAACGATAGGAGGTTGAGTCCAATTTCGAACAGTTCATGAAGCTGGGGAAGTAATTTCTATGGCTAAAATAAATATAGTAAGATTTCATACATGCCCAAGTACTCAAGACCATTCACGAAGTCACGCCGGCGCCGGAAATTGTGTCTTTGAACCTCATCTCTTTGTCAGACTAAGATAATCTCTTACACAGATTAAAAATTTTTATTTATGAGAAGTTTGGAAAAAAATTAAGAGAGGAAAAACGAGCATGCGGGTCATGGGTTCTATGGCGGTTTGGAGTTTTTTTGTTTTTGTACTGGTTCTTTCTCCTAAAATATGCCACATGTCCCGGCCGTTAAAATAGGGGCAAATATAGAACTTTGATGGAGGGCATTGGTAAACTTGGACGGAAAGTATAACGAGGGATAGGATTGAACAATAAAATAAAGTATAGGGATATATCAGACCCTTTTCCGTATTCAGAATGTGCCACGTGTCCCGGCCGTTAAAATAGGGGCAAATATAGAACTTTGATGGACGGCAGGGGTAAATTTGGACGGAAAGTATAACGGGGGACAGGATTGAACAATAAAACAAAATAGAGGGATATATCAGGCCCTTTTCCGTTGTTTTAAAGATATTTAGTCGAATTCATAAAATCCGTCCTAAATCCGCATCTGAGTATTTTATCAATTAGAAATTTTGTAAGATAACAATAACTAAAATAAGGGGAAATATAAGAATCACACAAAAGCCATTATCATATCCTATATGTGCAGTGAAATAAATTCCAAATTTTATGTGTTACAACGTATGCATATATTGAGAGTCTGAGACTGATGAATGGTCTCAATTAACTACATATTCATCTAGCAAAGTTAGACTAAAAGAAAAAAAGCAATAGATTGAGTCTGAAATGTGAGGAAATAATACAAGAGTAGGCAAAAAATATATATATATATATATATTATATATATATATATATATATATATATATATATTTGCTTTAAAAAACATTCACTTAAGAAAAAAGTTATAATAATGCATAAAATCACAGCTTGTTCTGCGCAATTTCAGTCCTGTACAACCTAGGTGCACTCTTCAATTCCATCAAAGACCTTTCCATTTTATTTTTTCTCTTACTAATCACAAATCAGAAACACTTAACTTAACCCCACGAAAGAATTTAAAAAAATGAAAAATCCACGGGTAAAATGATGGAGTATATAAAATTCTCAAAATTGGTTTGGTCACACAAAGAAAGGAAAATAACATCATTAACAACAACCACCCAATATAATCTCACAAAGTAGAACAACAACAACCACCCAATATAATCTCACAATTGAAGTCTGGGGATGGTAGGATGTACGCAACCTTACCCCTACCTTGGAAGGGCAAAGAGATTGTTCCCGATAGACCTTCGGCTAAAAAAGGTGAAAGAAGCCCTGATAGCAAGACAAATAATTAGAAAACTAGATCGAAAACAACAGAGAATATGAAAGGGGTACCGATAACAAGTAATAGCAAGATAATATATTTAGAAAATTAAATCCAAGGCGGCAAACGAGAATATGAATAGCAAACTACGGAATTACCGATAGCAAGTAATAACGGAACAAGACATGCGAATATAGCAAACTAAGGGAAAAAAGGGAAACCGTACTAGCACTAATACTATCGAACTAGAGAAACAAAGGGACACGCACGACTACCTACTAACCTTCTACCCTAATCTTCAACCTCCACACCCTTCTATCTAGGGTCATGTCCTTGGTTAGCTCAAGCTCCGCCATGTTTCGCCTGATCACCTCTCCCCAAGACTTCTTTGGCCT